GAATCCGGATATATGATAACAATAAATTTTGGATATATGATAACAATAAATTTTGAAATGCTTTTTAATTTTATGCTAATTCAAATCTATAAGTAAAATATCAGCGCATATATGACGCGGAGTTGTAAGCTTTTTTAATTTTATGCTAATTCTTCAATTAAGCATTTGTAAGCTTTTCAATTTTTATCATCTAGCTAGTAGCCTAGTAGCTAGTGATTGATTGCATAGAATGGATATATGATATATGACGTGGCTTTTTTCATGCCGTCTGTAAGAATATTCTCCAAATGGTCCTCTTATAATTGTAGAAGTTACAACAAAAATAGCATTTGGTAACTCTTCAAGATAGTCACTATTTTGTCATTAACCAGTTACCATGCATAGAGTTATGTTGTGATTAACTTAAATCTTTTAAATTCCTCTCCTCACAACATGCGCCTTCTCTGAACTGGATGTAAAAAAATTTCTAATTGCTATATTTTGAGCCACAAAACATTATCATAAGAAATATATAGCTAGACATCATCATAACTATTAAAAATCATGTAAAAATTTTTATAAACGTTAAATTTTGTCAATTATCGACATGGTCATATGGGAAGAAAGCAACTATTGGCTGACCGAACTGGACCATTAATAAAAACACTCAATGTAATGGTAAATTTTCTATTTAACAACAAATTAAAAATATATATATATTTTCTTCATTTCTTGAGAATAAGAAATTCGGTTCTGTAAGCAATTCAATATCTGGTTATGGCAAGAAGCTCTCTAACAATAACACGAGCAACTTGGATTTTATATATCACTCTAAACGTCTAAACCATGTAACGTGAAATCTACACACTTATAATTTAAGATACTAATTAACAGAATAAAAATACATACCCGCCATTTTAATGTAATTTTTAACCAAAAGGAGAAAGACAAAAATACTAATATTTAGGTAGTTTAAGGGTTGAATACTACCATTGTCAAGCAAATAAAATAATAGTTGAATAGCACCTTTTTTTAGTTCAACCTATTCATTATAGGGAAATTGCATGCTATAACCAATAATTTTTTTTTAATATAAATCATAACCATTTAACCTAAATCTAAAGATTGATATTTGGCCACACATGCTAATTTTGTTAATTTTTTAATTATTAAATTTTTTTGGATTATTCTTGCAAATGACCCTTCATTATATCTATCAAGCGGTGGTGAGTGAGATAATTTGATCAAAAAAGACAAGATTATACAGCCAAGAGTATCATAATTTACAAGACAACAAGTGTATCGCAGCCACAAGACACGTTATATCTCAATATCTCATTGACCTTGTTAGTCGTCATAATTCAGCATTTTCGTTACTAGTCTTTTACCTTAAATCACATCATAAGTTTAAGAAAGAAAAAGGAGAAAGACAATCTAACCAGAAATAAAAAAAAAAAAAAAAAGGAGAAAGACAATCTAAAAAAAAAAAACCCTCACTTAATGGTTCCCACTAAGACTTCAATCAC